GGTTACGCGGGGCGTACCTCCCCTGGTACGCTCAACGTACTCACGAGTCCAGATTGTCCATCGGGGACACTTGGTCAGTACGCGGGGTGTATTGGGATTACGCTCAGCGTACGACCCAACTTCACTCTTTCCACTCCTTTGGTCTTAATCAGTTAAGACCTTGGCTCAAATCACAGATCTGGACTCCCTAATAGCTCTTACTCCATAAAGTCAGTGACTTTAAGCCTTTGCATGGCTGATAAGGTCACAAACACACAAAACTCTCACTTTCTTAGCTCAAAATACTCATATCTCATGCATGGCTTGATCCCAACGTCCAAGTCCTGATTTTTATGACACAACACCACAAAATACACTCAAAGGGGGTTGATCATAGTCTCTGGAGCTCAATAACTCATAAAGTCTCCAACTTTTCGGACAAACCCTAAAATACTCCACTATGATGCACAAATCAAAAGAGTGAGAAAGCTTGAAGCTTTATACCTCTATATGAAGCTCCCAACACAGATATGCTCAGATCCAAGGGCCTGGACTCTCACTCCTTCTTCTCCAAAGCTTCTTCTTCACTCCAAGAACACACAAAATCACCCAAAGGCTCTCAAATGCACTCACAAGCTCTATGAACGAAGGTTTAGGGTTTTGGAGGGTTTGTTGACTGAGAATGGTGGCCAGGAATGAGGCCATCTCATTCTTTATATAGGGGCACCTCCCCCTTATTTAGGGTTTCTTTCTGTGCCTAGTATGCCCAGCGTACCCTATGGTACGTCCAACGTACTAGGTGGCTCCGCTTAAAAGTCAAGCACATGAGTACGCTAAGCGTACACACACATACGCCCAGCGTACTCCGCTACCACCTTTTTCAATTAAATGACTTATCTTGCCCAATCTTCAAACTGTTATAGCTCCCTTGTTATAAGTCTGTTTCCCATGATCCTCATATCCACGGAAAGGTGACAAGAAGCCCTACACTTCAACTCGTCGCAGCCCCGAGACTTCCTCATGTCCGGTTTGCAGCCAACGAATCCGTAAATCACGGACGATCCAGAAAAGGATGTTACAAAACATATTAAATATTATATGAGTACTAATATTGTAATTTATTGGTTATTTTTAATTAAGGTAATTATTAATTGAGGTGTAAATATGATGTGTTAATTAAGAAAAGATAAAAAAAATGAGAAAATGACAAATGGAAAAAACATTTAATCAAAAATACCAAAAAATGACATGTGTCCAAGTTAATGAGAGAGTGACATGTGACAAAATTATTTTCATTTATTAGGAAGGATAATCAAGTTTAAAAGTTGTAAGCGTCGTTTACAAACTTTTGTAGTCTAATATGTTAAGATTTATGGAGTCCTGAACAAATTGACAAGTTCCTAAGAGTTCAAGGGCCATAAATGTAACTTGACAATTATTAAACAATTCAATTGTTTAATATTGAATGGAGGTACATGTCGGCAAATCAATTGTTTATTATTTGGACGCATCTTTTGCATGGTCAAACAATGGACGGCAAGAAATATTAAATTATTAAATGATGGCTCCTTTTTCTCAATTGCGGCAATTTTGTCAATATGGACGGCAAATTTGTGTGAATCAAGAAAAGTTTACGGCACATCTCCTATATATATATATATATATATATATATATATATATATATATAATATATATATATATATATATATTATATATATATATGTGTGTGTGTGTGTGTGTGTGTGTTGTGTAGCAGAGAATGTGTGCATCAAATATAACTTGTAGAGTTATAAATTGTAATCTTATTAAGTTAATAAGAAAATCTAGTTGCAGCCCGTGGACGTAGGATTTACACCGAATCCGAACCACGTAAAATCCTTGTGTTCTTTATTGCTTTATTTTCTCGTTTCGTTTGTGAGTGTGTGATAGTGTTTCCGCTGCGTGTACCCTGTCTCAATTCCTAACAAATGGTATCAGAGCCTGGTTAGCGAGGTTTTGGAGGGTACGATCGTTTTTTCTGTCACACACGAGTGTACCTAATTTTTTTTTTTTGCCGTAATGGCTGAAGACAAGATTATAATCGAAAGGTTCAATGGTTCTGATTTTAGCTGGTGGAAAATGCAATCAGAAGCATTGCTATGTCAGAAAGACTTCGACATGGTACTCGGAGACAAACCGGAGAAAATGGAAAAAGCTGCTGAAGATGCGTGGAACTCAAAGGACAAGAAAGCCAAGGCGGTTATTACATTGTCGTTGACGAAGAGCGTTGCTTTCAACATCATGAATGAAACCACGGCGCGTGGTATGATGGAGGCTCTGTCAAATATGTATGAGAAACCATCGGCGGCTAACAAGGTGTTCTTGATGAAGGAGCTGTTCACTACAAGGATGAATGAGGAAGGCTCAGTTACGGTTCACATTAACAATCTAAATTCAATTCTGTCCAGATTATTATCTGTGGGAATTAAATTTGATAATGAGACTCAAGCTTCGCTGCTACTAGCTTCTCTACCTAATAGCTGGTCCGGAACAGTTACTGCTGTTACAAGTTCCGTGGGGACCAGTGGTATGACTTTTGAAGGGGTTAGAGATTTGGTTCTAGGCGAGGATATCAGACGCAAGAATCAAGGTGGATCTTCCTCTTCTGATTTATTAAATGTCGGAAGAGGTAGAGGGAATAGCAGGAATAGTGGGAGCAGTGGGAGTCGGGGAAAAAGTTCTTCTAGAACTTTGAAGAATGTGAAATGTTGGAACTGTCAAGAAGTGGGACATGTTAAGAGTCAATGTCCAAAGAAAGAATTGAACATTGCTGGTGCTGAGAGTGTGTCTGAGGATGATGCATTGATACTCAGTATGGAAAGTTCTGTAGACTCTTGGGTCATGGATTCAGGGGCTTCGTTTCACGCCATGGACAACGGGGAAACGATGGTGAATCTAAAAGAATGAGATTTTGGGAAGGTACGGTTGGCAAATGACGAGATGCTTCAGGTAACGGGCATGGGAGATATTGATCTAGTTACTTCATTAGGAACTACATGGAGCCTGAAGAATGTCAGGGTTATTCCGGAGCTGAAGAAAAAATTGATTTCTGTTGGTCAGCTGGATAAACAAGGACTGGAAGTAAGGTTTGGTGGTGGTAAATGGATGGTGGTCAATGGTAATTTGGTGATTGCTCAAGGTTTGAAGCGTGGGTCATTGTATATGGTTGAGGTACCTGCTGAGGGAAGTATGACCATCCCGATTAAGCAAAACAAAATCTGGTTCGCTAAATCTACTGCTAAGAGAGTTCATTTTGCAAACATGAATTCTGGAGCCAAGGGGATGTTAGCTGAACGAGTCGGAAATTCTAAACCATTCAGGGGATTCTGTGACAGTGGGAGCACGGGGTGTGTCCCGGGTACAGTTACAAAGAGCCGTTGGGTTTTGAAGACTAAGACTGGAAAATTCTCTCTTGTTGGAAGTTTGCAAAGTTTGGAGAGTGTTAGTGGTCCTCGGTGTATCTCTGGATCTGGTGGAGTGTCCAAACCGGTTGAGACAGAGGATGAGTCGGTGGTGGGATTAGCCACGACTGAGTTGGAGCTAGTGGGAGCTTCAACTGGCCCTTCTAGTACTTGAAGATGAGGGGCGGCTGCAATTAGAGAAATCAGACTAAGTGTTAGCTTGTTCTTTGGAACTGGAAGCTTGAAGGACTTGGTTGTTTTTTAAGATTACTGGAGTAATTAAGAGTTGGATGACGGAGAAAGACTAATTTGTTCAATCCTCCAAGTGGGAGATTGTTAAGATTTATGGAGTCCTGAACAAATTGACAAGTTCCTAAGAGTTCAAGGGCCATAAATGTAACTTGACAATTATTAAACAATTCAATTGTTTAATATTGAATGGCGTACATGTCGGCAAATCAATTGTTTATTATTTGGACGCATCTTTTGCATGGTCAAACAATAGACGGCAAGAAATATTAAATTATTAAATGGTGGCTCCTTTTTCTCAATTGCGGCAAATTTGTCAATATGGACGGCAAATTTGTGTGAATCAAGAAAAGTTTACGGCACATCTCCTATATATATATATATATATATATATATATATATATATATATAATATATATATATATATATATATATATATATATGTGTGTGTGTGTGTGTGTGTTGTGTAGCAGAGAATGTGTGCATCAAATATAACTTGTAGAGTTATAAATTGTAATCTTATTAAGTTAATAAGAAAATCTAGTTGCAGCCCGTGGACGTAGGATTTACACCGAATCCGAACCACGTAAAATCTTTGTGTTCTTTATTGCTTTATTTTCTCGTTTCGTTTGTGAGTGTGTGATAGTGTTTCCGCTGCGTGTACCCTGTCTCAATTCCTAACATAATATTGGTGTTTCAAAATCACAGTTGTCAAATTATGCTATTTTTCTATCCATGAATGCACCCTGAGATAAAATGAAAACCTTGTTCCTATAAAAGACAGCGTGTTTAGTATTTCTTTGAAGAATTAGACAAATACGTTTGTTCATAAAACTTCATCACGAAGTTCTATTTCGGAAAAGTACTTATCCTAAGTTTTGAACGAAAGGATAAGTCATGGTTTTTAAAATGCATGTGGACTTTTTGAGCAATGAAATAGTAAGTTGACTGCTGTATTCCATTATTCCTAGAGACAAGATGTAATATTCAGATATAATTTTTTCCTTCACGTACAACGATAAAGAAAAAAAATATAGACAAATAAATAAAATGATGCAATACAACCAGAGACCAACTGAAACTGGGTAACTGCGGTCTGGTGGGATTAATATTATAATCATCATCACTCAGCGTGTCTTCTTCTTCAACACAGAAACAATCCTCAGAAGCATAAGACTTTTATTATCAGAAAAATCCAAGATTTCCATCAGCTACTTTCCCTCCAATTTTGATTCAAGATTCTTACAGATTAAGCAATTCTTGATCGGGCATACTATTTAAACCCCATATCATCTCCGTCATTAATGCAGATCAATCAAACCTTTCTATATATGGAGTATACAACCGGATCTCAACCCGATAATTTCCAGACCTTCTTCATGGAATGGGTGACCCAACTGGAGTTTTACCTTCATCAGCTTCTCCACATTCTTCAGTCCCCAGATCAACAAGACGAGTCCAAACACAAACAACTCATTCGCCGAGTCATGGCTCACTACCATGAATACTTCCTTGCCAAGGCCCGAGTTTCTAGCCGGAATGTTTTTCTTGTTCTGTTACCCCCGTGGCTCAGCTCCTATGAGCGAACCTTCCTATGGTTGTCTGGGCTCAAGCCGGGTCTTGCCCTCCGTGTCGTGAATAGATGTGGGGTGGAGTTGAGCTCCGATCAGGCGGAGAGGATGGAGAGGCTAACGGTGGACACTAAAGACGAGGAGAATGCGATTGCAGAGAGGCTGGCGAGGTTGGAGCAGCAGGTGCTGGCGCCGTCCATGCTGCCGTTGGCGAGGATGGGAGGAAGGGAGGTGAATGGCATGATTCATGAAGCGGATACTGCAATGGAGAGAATGGCGGAGCATATGGAGTTTTTGGTTGGGTGTGCGGATTATTTGAGGGAGAAGACAGTGGCGAAGGTGGTGGGGATATTGACGACGGCTCAGACGGTGAGGTTCTTAGCGGCTATGGCTCAACTTCAGTTAAGGATTAGGATGTGGGGGCAGCTGAGGGAGAGGGAGATTCATGGAGATGCTAATCTCTCTTAAGGATAGTCGTTCGAACGTACTTCCAAGTTCCAAAGGCAGGTGCCATGCGCTATGGGATGATGACAACTAGAATTGTTGTGTTCTTTTAAATTCATGTTTCCACTCTTTTCTTCAAAAGGTTGTTTTGTGTGGAAGTGTTTTGTTTTGTGTTGTAAACGACAAAGATGTATGTGGTCAAGGAAATGAAAGAAAAACGACGATAAAGTAAACGGCAGTCATACGATTATTTTGAAAAGAAAAAAAAGTCCTAAAGTTTTTTTTCTTGTCCTTAAGGGAAAAAAAATGTTTTTGTCGGATCAATTGGTCACTTTGGACAAAATGAAGGGGTAACCCAGTTACCCCTTTGCCACATAGACATCGGCCCATTTTTTTTATCATTGACTTTGAAAAGTCAAAAAATTCCAAAGACTCAGTGTTGTTTTGCATCTTCATCAACCCAAATGGGCAAACGTGAAGGAGTTCCTTCAACCAACTATCTTATCCTAACCACTGGAGACTCGCTGGTGAAGTTCATGAACCGGTTCATCGGTGGTGAAGGCTCCGACGCTTCAAAACAGTCCCAAAATCCTTGATCTAGGATGCTACTTGGAGAATTCTTTGAAAATTTTACAATCTTTTGGAAATCAGAAATCAAATCAACAAATAGGTGTTGAAGAAGTTGGTTTGTTGTCCATCTTTATTCAACATTTGTTCGCAAACACTTATTCAAAAAATCTTTAGCTTCCACCAATAACCATGTCGGAAACAATGGCACATCGTCGGAATACTCAATTCTGTATAAAGCAGACACCGGGGATCAACACCTGGAGTGATGGAATCAGGACGCTGGTACAGTGGTTCACAATTACTCCATGGTGCACCGCTGAAGTCGATTTTCACAGTGTAACTAGTGGAGTTACAGAGGTCCAAACCTGTTACTGACAAAGGTCACTCCTCGCTTCTAGAATAAGTGGAGCGATCGACAAGAGCAAGACACCCATTCAAAGTATTGTTATTGGGAGAGAGCACCCAAGTGAGCAGACTCAGCGGAGCAACATATTTGGAATACATACCTCTGGTATGTCTTTGGCCCGCTGACAGGTCGTGTTTTGGTGGCGTAGTTGCAAAGAATGAACCCTAATCCCCTAAATCGGACCTTAGTACCCGAAATCGAGAAATAGAGCGACGGAAAGTACAGGTAAGTAGCTTTGCCTACAGATTCTAATCAATTTTAGAGGGAACCAAAACCTGGAAGAAGGTAAGAATCGTACATGAATAAGGGCAAAACGTAGCAAAATTTAGACGAAAGATTATATGCAAAGTCAAAAATAGTCATAATTTTGACTTTTAAGTTTTCACTATTTTGACTTTTAAATGAAAAAATGCTTAACTGGCACATAAAACCTGCTAATATAGGTTACAGGGACTAAAAAGACAGGTCACTTCAAAGTTTATTTCCTCAAAAGGCTTGAAAATAACTTAAGGGACTGAATGAGCAAATGTGAAATACATAGTAGGGCTAATGTGTCATTTTCCCTTTTCAAAACAACGAAAAACATCTGTCCAAGGTGGTTTGAGGTGAGGAATGAGCCAAACAAAAAATAGGCTTATAAAAAGATACACAGTAAAAATTAATGTATGAAACAGTAACATAAATGAAACAAATATAAAACTTACTAAAGAAAAGAAAACTAAACGTTAATATATGTTAAGCTTTAAATCATCGACGTTGAAAAGTCATATTATTGAAAATGAATTGTGAAGAAAATGAAGGTTGAGTTGTGTCAACTCTAGAATCATCAATTCCAACTTATGAACTCAATGGAATTGAGCAATCTATGGTGAAATAAATAATCTAAGAGCTTATTAAGTTGTTTGGAAGTTTGTAAGGAACATATTAATTGATTAGAATGCTTATGGGTAAACCAAAGGGCTTCTAGCCGAGCCAGAAAAAAATGTCATGGGTAGCACACGTTAATCTTCAAGGTAGTACACCGAAAAAATTGCACTACACGAAAAATATTCTAAAACTTTTTTCATTGCGCCTGAAAATTTGAGGGGTACCACGGGCTACCCCGGACACCTACATAGATCCTTCCCTGATCCCAACGGTATCAGACATTTCCCTCCCTCCATGAAGTTGGGTGGTATTGGGTGTAGTTTGGTAGGAGTATGTTAGATTTTCCGTTAAAAAAAGAATGGTTATATGTGAGATTAGAAGTTATTAAGATTATATATGTCAAAGTTGGTGTTTAAGGCCTACTTGACCTTCTTTATTGCTCTTGTGACATTGGAATGTCTTAATCATTAAGTCATGATTAAGAAATGACTTAAATGAGATGAAATAATGATAATGTAACTTATTTAGGCTATTTAGACTCAGTTGTAAAGTTTGGTGACCATATGAACAAAGTATAATGGTAAATGGGTAACACGAGTAATTTTTTTAACTTTTTTGCACCTACAGCACAAGCCCGAGCGGGCCTAAGTCCAATTATTAGTGCTTTGGATCATGGACGGGCCTAATGGAGGCTCGTGCGGGAGTGAGAGCATACCATGCAGACTCGAAATCACGCACAAATTTTGCCTATGTTCATGTTTTTAACACGAGGAATGTTTTGAAACCATCAAATTCCACATTTGGAATTAAAAGCTTATTAAGTGACTTAATGTAACACTTTTCATGAATTTGACATATCTATTGACACTCATAAGTGACATTTGAATTCCCAAATCATTCTTAAAAAAAGAATGAAGGTATTAGAAGCTTTTTATTTCATTTGAAGGTTAATAAATATAGCTTTGAACTGAGATGATTTTACTGTGAGTACAAGTCCCTATATTATTTTCAGACTTGATGTATGAATGATGTTTTCCTACTTAAAGTTGATATCATATATATATATATATATATATATATATATATAGGAATTTGATTTCAATTGATAGTGTTATTTCTTTCCTTACTTGTTATATGTCTACCATTGATACTTATTTGCATTCATGAAATCATTTTTGTGAAATATATTATTTTTGAGAAAATGTATGCATAGTTTGAAAAGATAATTTGATGGACTCAAGTTCTATTTATTGAAAATGGTTTTGAGAATCCTACTTGTAGCATACATGCTAGGATGGGTTGGCTGAGTGATGCTCGATATGCATCGAGATTGATTTCTTATGACTAGATTTCTAGATAATCCTCACTATGCATAAGTAGAGGTTCGCTTCCTTTTGTATGGGCTTGGGGGAGATGGGTACCCAAGTGCCTAGTTTGTTTCTCATACAAAAGTTGGTGGCAGTTATTCCATTCATGAGTTGGGAGCTTAGCCATTGGGGGGAGTTTGGACTTCTTGAGATTGACAAGGGTTTGGAATAGATGCATGTATTGCATATTGTTGCATATTAAATTCTTACTTACCCTTTTTGGAGTTTTGAGATGATTTGTAAAGATTTGCTAAGCAATGTTTATCCTTGATTTTATTTTGAGATATGTTATACCCAAATTTGATTTATGATGTTTCTTTGATTTTGGAGGTTTCATATTTTCTTTGAATTACAGAATACTAATTTCTTTGTTATAGATGATGGGTTAGTAAACTCTGGATATTGGATTTTGTGATTATCTTCTTTTGGTAGAATTTTGAATTGTTAAACTCTTGATTTTCGGTTTATGGATTTTATATCCTTTGATTTGAATACATGTACATATAACCTTTGTTCATGATTAGTTGAGTCTTAGTACTCTACCCTTTAAGTTTACTAATACTTATTGTATTTAATGATTTTATATTGATTTTGGGGGTTGGTCTCGCGTATGATGATTATTATCATCATTACTATAAAGGAGTCAATGTACATTCCAAAAACCATGAAAAAAAATCATTTTTAAAAGACATTTTCATAAAACCATAAAATAGACAAACATTGTTTCTAAGAAAAATCCATAGAAATCTGAGTATCAAAATAATCTCTCAAGACATAAATCAACATGAGGATGTGTACGATCACACATTTGCTTTACCCCGATCATCCGAAGTACTTGGAAACATTGAAATCCACAACTGTAAGCCAAAACTTAGTGAGTTCCCCCCAAAATACCCCACACAACAATACATATACAGTGCATGCACACCTGGTCCACATAATATGATTGGATTGCCCCCGAGCCAAAAGCATAAGATTGGATTACACATCGGGAGGGCATTCCAGTCTTATGTTGTGGGCTCGGGGGCAATCCAGTCATAAGCTGAGGGCCAAGAAGGCATTCCAGTCTTATGTTGTGGGCCCGGGGGCAATCCGGTCTTCGTGTTGTAGGCATTGTGTGCATGCATTGTATGTATATTGTGGTGTGTGATATTTTGGGGGAAGGCGTGACTGTACACATTCATCAGCAGCACTGGAGATTCCACGTTTAATATATTACTTTGATTTTTAAACAAATGTACTTCGGAACAAATGGTTTTCTCAACTTGGATTCTATAAATGTGAAGTTTTACCTTAATTAAAAATGAAAATTTTGTTGTGAAAATAGGACGTTACAAAATAATTCACTCTTCCTGAAATTATTATGAAATATTATTAATATTTTGCATAAGAGTTTTATGGTTGGAACAAAAAAGTAGTTTTTATGCAGGGACGCCTCCTTCTATCATCACTTGGCAGTTAGCACACAATTTCCAATGAATTACCAAAATTTATAACATCAAATTATTGATATTTAACTAAGTTAACAAAAATAAACATTACCAACTATAACATTAAACTTTGAATCATACTATCTTTTTCGGAATCAAAAAATACACTTCACGTGCGTTCTTTATATAATAAATATTAGATGTGAGACACATGTACCACATGTGTTGATTAGAAATAAAATAAAATATCAATGTGTAAACATTAAGCATTTTTAAAGTAAAATTTTGAAATAAATACAAACAAAATGATGAATAATAAGTAATTTAATTTATACTGATAAATAACCTATTGACATATTTTAAATAATTGTTTTGAATCACAAA